CCCCCCCCGGGACTTGTTATCAACCCTTACAGCGTGGACTGGAAGAATACTGGTGATTTCGCCTTACGTGCATTCACGCTCTATCTGCTGATCTCTGCTTGACGTCCGATCGTTATATTTTTCATCCCTCTCTGTACGCTTTTCTCTAAAGTCCCGGTAATCTTTGGCTAACGATTCATGGATGTGACGTAGATGATTTGCTGATGTCTTCTATATATTTTTTTTTTTTTTCGTAAATATTTTTGAAAAGCTCAATCAACCAAACTCTGTTCGTTTCCTGGGAATCTTAGCTAAATAGTACAACAGTAATGCGACCGAGCGACCTAGTCTTAAAGACACCTCAACACTCTTCCGCGTTCTCTTCCCTTTCCACGTGGGACACTTCCCTTCTCTCTCGCACTCGCACCTTCCCCTCGTTCCCGGTCCTTCTCCCTGCAGGTTCCTCTCGCCAGTAGCAGCTCCGAGCACTTCACCGCTAGCGGCTAGGTCACTCCAGACCAAGTTTTACGCCTCTTACGGTTCGCTCAGCACGTCACTGACCCACTCAACGTGAGCGCATTGGAAGAGGACCGCATTTGAAATAACTACAGGCATACCGGGCGTAGGGAATGAAACGTAGGAGCCAGAAGAGAGAACAGGGTGCCGAGTGACCGCCTGCACAGGAAGTCGAGACAAAATTTCGAGGGGCTGTATATGGACGAGGAGGCTGGGCCAGGTGGTCGACGAGGGATGATCTACTTTTTCCAATTCCGTAAGTTGGCGAACCCTCGACAAAGAGGAGTCGCTGCATTCCTCTTTACCTGGACCGGTGCGGTTCGCCATCCACTAAATTGCGGCCTGGACCTGTCGCGGCGAAGACTCACCGGGTGCCTAAGACTTTCCACTCCATTTTCTATTCCTTTCTTTTTGAAAATCGAAAGTCGACCATAGTACACGGACAAAATCATGGCACAATGGGGCTGGTACCCATGCACCGAGGTTCATCATCATCCGACCAGGTACCTAAGGGGAAGTTGAAACTGAGAGAATCAAGTGGCAATCTCCTCATGAGATCCAACTTGGATCTGGTCGATCATCGGTAATCGCTGATCTACCTCCACCTGGTCAGACAGCCAGAGACTGATGGACCTGAGTACCTAGTGGCTGGATCGCGGCTGAGGTGGTACCCCGGGCCTCCCGAGTGGAAGAGTCTCTACGTACGCTAACCCAAAGCTATTCTAGCTATAGTATATGCATCCCCGCCATGTCCTACCTAGTCGCGATTACTAGATAGCACGTCGGGTGGCGCGCACTGCCTCCCCTCCTCGATCCACGCCTCTTTAGGCCATTGCGTCGAGGAAACCGCGAGGACGTTGACTCGGCGGCCTTCGACTCTTGCAACCGCGAATACGCCGAAACGTACGACACGTAATCCCACCGATTTCCCGTTCGTGATATCATGCGAGCGCGACATCCAGATGGCGAATTCTGATTCGGTTACGAAATTACGTAACCGTGCCAAGAGACACTATCTGACCTGGACAAGAGAGAAATTGGTACTTCTCGGTATATATATACCTGACCAAGGACTTCCGCCCGCTCATCTCGACATGGACCGCAAATGGATCCTCCTCCCAAGGGATACACGCCAGGATGGGTCCCAATGGACTACCTGCTCTCCCGGACCCTTCTCACGCGCGCTTCTATTTACTGGGAAGAGGGCACAAGGGTACGTTGGGGCCCCGCAGGATAACAGGAGGAAAACCACGAGGATGGGAGGAGAGAAAGAAGAAAAAGGGAATACAAGGAAAAGAAAAAAAAGGAATTTGCCACTTTTCCCCTCTCTTTGCGCAACCGCCAATGGGGACTCATTGTCGTGAACGATTCGTGGAATTGCCGAAAATTTTCTGGAATCTAATCGAAGCCCAAAGAACATTGTCGTAGGTGAAATTTGCGCGCGTCTGTCAAGAAGGACGTCTCGCATTTCCCTCATTGTCGGGAAGCCACGTGAAACGCGACCACTGAACACACACGTACACTCGGACGGCAAGAGACGTTTCCCACAGATTCTCCTTCCGCGCGTGCAAGCTCAGCGTAAAATGAGATCCGTTTCGCCCGCGAACCTCGACAGCGAATGCGTCGACGACGAAGGAATAAAATATCGCGCGTTTGCGAAATCGCGATATAATGGAAGTATGAGTCTTTTTTTTTTCTTTTTTTTTTCTCTTTTTTTCCGTCTCCCCTCCCCGCGATCCACGTCAACTTTTTCTAACGTACAAACTGACCGGCAAGGATTCCTGACCATTACTCCCGTCTCTCCCCCCCAATTTCCGTGTACCCAAGGTTAATTCGCAACTCGCTGACACGGCGGTCAATCGCTTTTGCGCAGCCTTGAGAATTCCCGTTCGGCTTCGCCGCTCACTTCCTGGCCGCCACACCGCAGCGGAATGCCGCACGTATCACGAGACACCATCGACAGGCATATATATATATATATATATATATACATACGCATATGTAAAATCGAAACGTAAAATTTCAATTACTCAATAGGACGATTTCGAATAACAACCAAAGTCAAAATTACCGTCGACAGGTGTTTCGTGATAATTGCCAAATATTCGAAAACTAAACGAGCAAATCTCTTACCTTGCATCCCTCGCAAGAATGAACGCCATAATGAAAGCCAGACGCCTTATCGCCGCAGACGCGACAGAGAACGGTGGTGCCGTCGAATTCTGTAAAAGAAAAAGAAAGAAGAAAATAAATAAAGCTCTGTTTAGTCAAGCCGTGAGATCTCGTGCGGAGCACATGGGCGCTCGTCTCGTGACCGCGGAGAAAGAACGAAAGAGAAAGAGAGGAGAAAGGAACGGGAGAAAGAAGAACACTTTCTCCGCGGCGAGGTTACAGCATCGCTGTTACAACTTTCTGCTTTCACTCGGCTGTCACGCTACTCGATCTCATCGGGGGCTCCGATCCTCGCCGCTAAATATATATATATATATATACATAGGCACACGGAGAATTATAAGAAAATAACATTGGGGAAAAACAAAAAGTACGATAAAACCTTAAATCTCGATTTTCCCATTAGAAACTTATCCCGTCGAGTGTGGAAATACAGGAGCTCGTAATATACCTATGTTCAATTCAGGCTCCGGCCTGGCTGAAGACACCGTGGAATCCATAGTGGGCATACTAGGTATATGCGACATATGAGCAACGTGATAAGGACTGCTCATGCCGGTGACATGCGACATGGTCGAGGCATGAGAGCTGTGCGAGGAGACGCTGGACATCGGAGATTCCGGCGCCGGTGGAGGAGCAACCAAAACGTGCATGCTACTGTCCGGCGTGAGTATCATCCTCGAGCCTGTCTTAAGAGCGAGTCCGAGAGTCAATGTAAATCCTTGCGTTTGCGCCGTACACAGGTCACGACACTTCACTGTTTACGTGTCGGGGGTCCTCAAACGAGGAGGCGACATTTGCCATGCGTTCACTGTCACAGCCACTGGGGTTCACCAGATACGAGAAACGACTAGGGTCGTTGGATCAACGAGCAAACATGGATTGTAGTTACGTGTCAAGGATAGCGCGATGTACGTGAATCCACAGAGTACCGGAAGTCAAAGTGACACGACAGCCCCGAGGTGTTGACCAAAGGGGACAATCTCGTTCGATAGTCAAAAGTGCACACGCGAATGTCCGGCGAGGTAAAATCCGGATTTTCTGGCAACGCGCAGGCAATCGTCCGCGCGCCTGTTAGTCGGCTCTAAGGTTCCTCGCGTTACGAAGGGCAGGTGCGATCTGTGGCTCGGCCAAGGGTACACCGGAGTATTATAAGGATCGACCGGCTAAAGGCAGCGAGCGTAACGAGACACGAAGAGAGTGAAAGTGAGTCTTCGCTCGAGGGAGGTTCGCGTTGGTCTGACTGGAGTTTGGTGCCGTAGAGTGTTGGTTACCTGGTCTGCTCACTCTCTCTATCTCTCTCTCTCTCTCTCTCTCTCTCTCTCTCTGGTGTGCAGCCCTTACCAAAGTCCCCGGCGTAGTGGGGGTGTCTACAATGTCTACGCCCTGGCTACTAGTGTGTAGTAGAACTTCAGTCTGGAGTTCATCGTATTTTCAATGTTGGAGGTCACTGACAACCGAGCGCCGCGACTGTACGGCACAATGCCGATCCTCTCGCCGGCCAATCGGAGCGAAGCTCGACGAACCGAGCAGCGACCCTATTGGCTGTCGCCTTTCCCCCACCGCCGGCAGCCTCCTTCCTACCATCGGAGGAAGTTCATCGGCCGAAACCTTGACTGAATTACCCCACAGCGGCGGCCAAGGCCATCTGCTCTCCTTCCTCCACTCTGGATACTCCCGATGCTTCCGTCCTTCTTCTCTCTTCTCTCCTTCTTCCATCTTCTTCACTCTGCCCGCTGCTTCGCGCTTTACTAACCGAAGCCTCCCGCCCCCTCCTCCCCCCTCCTCCTCCTCCTCTCCCTCCTCCTTCATTTGCTTCTCCTTACTCCTTCGCACACGTCTCTCCCTCTCTCTCGCGCACTCATCCACCGCCCATCGACCCTCTCTCTCTCTCTCTCTCTCTCTCTCTCTCTTCGCTTTGTACTCTCTGTACATATCGACGCTCTTCTCCCTCTCGGACGCTTTTACGACTCGTCAGCAGCCTCACGCGAGGACTCGCCGGCTACGTGGATGGGCATGTACACACTCTCTGTGCGACTGCACACGCATCTCCTATGGCTGCAATCCTTTCACTTGCCAACGATCGTGTCCCATAAGAGTTTCCCTGCTATTACGTTATTTCAGGTTATTTCAGTCCGAGCAGATAAGGTCGCAGCTCCTTTACACTTTTCACGGCCTTTTGCACCGCGTTCGGCTGCCTGCGGATCCTTTGTGCTCAGCTGATTTTTCAAAGTCGTTATCAGTTCAGCGAACCCTGTTATCGGCCAGTTTTCGAAGTACCTGCATCTACGGGACGTACCCACCGTTTTGCCTACCGTCATCGGTGCTTCGGAGATATACTTTTTTTTTTTTCACTTTTTTTTTCTATCTCGCACGTGCGTGCCATTGTCGAAATATCGGCTGACGTTTCTCGGTTAGCCCAACAAAGACGCGGTCGACTTTACCGACATGCTGGACTCTCGCGAAATTGAATAACTTTGTCCTCGTGACTTGTAACGATACACGCGACGAGTGTCTATGTCTATGGACTGTGGACTGTAGAGGATAAGGAGGACCGGGGGGGTCCTTGGGGTGGGCCAGTGAACCGCGCGAAGGATCCGTGACTGACGCCTACCGAGCTCAACGGCGAATCAGCACTTCTCGAGGACACCCTGTGCGATATTACGAATAACGAATTCCGCGAGACCTCGGAGCGCAACACGTTTGCCATTCGGCCGTGCTGGCCACGTAAGCGGTTCCATAGAGTCCTTGTGTGCCGGGCAAGTAGACGGGAACAGGGGGGGGTGGGCCAGGAGGTTCCAATCGACACCGGAAATCGGTCCTTCCTCATTCCGGACATCCATGACCACCGAAGGACCAGGTCCGACCACTTGGGACACGGTTAGCGTAATACGATATTTTCTTCTGAACAAATACTTTTACGCCAAGTCGATACTTATAAACATACCTCTTCCGGTACTCTCAACCCCTTGCCATCGAGGTACCCCTTTAACGATATTTTGAAAAAGTCATAAAATTTGTGTACTTTTTTTTTTCTTCTACTCAAATTCACATTTTGTACTCTCGTAAACGGTCTGGAGCGGAAGAGACTTTCACCGGTGACCCTCCGGAGGACGACTCGACCTGACCTCTCGAGTGCGTCAATTATCGACGTAATAATTTATATTTTCATGATTTTACGAGCAGCCCGTTAACGTTCTACGGAGGACAACCTACCCCACGTATTCTTGGCTGGGTACTTGGGGGGGGCTTTACGGTCTGGAGCGAAGGGGTATATTCGTTTCTGTTGGACGGACAAGGTCTCGTGTGGAAGAAAAAAAAGAATCGACGGGTATCAATGGAAATGGTGAAACTTTCTCGTGAAATGGTATAACCAGCTATCGTATTACTGCCGGCGCGTTTATATGCAACGGATGCGACGTAACTATAGCGGCGTCGAGGCGGAGCCGTCTATTTTTAATCGCACCGTGTAAACCGACCTCTCGGACACGCACGTGCTCCTTGTCATTAACGCCGAACCTGGGACTCGTAGGCTTACCGTAGATACATCCAGGGTGCGCCAACTAACCCACGCGAATAATCGATCGAACGACAGTTTTCACATTGTTTTGTAGATCCGAGAAAAAACGACGCGACACGAGTGACAATGAAAGTGACGTAAGAATTTCATAAGATCCAGATTGTTGCCAACGGTGAGAAAAAAAATTCGAAAAAACTTTATTAACATTATTTGTATTAAAATTGTTTTTACGCTCTTACACGGAAGTCCGAACCAAAATAGATATGCACTGCGCCGTAAGATCATCACGCTCGATCGATTCGTGACTTTGAATAATTGTCAAAAAAAAAAGAAAAAAAAAAAAGAGAGGTAACCTCTTTCCGCAGCTCAGAAATCTGACAAACTCGCAAAAAGTTGGTAACGCACCAACGACCGAACGAGACGTCACCCGGGGAGGTTGGTAAAACTGCGTCGTCCGAGTGAAAAGGTAAATGAAAATTACGCGTGACGTCATAGTCCCTCCGAGTAAATACGTACTACAAGCGTCCGTCGACGATAAGGAAGTCCGATCGTACGTATGAAAAATCTTGTATTTCTGAATTGAATTTCGTGTCTTTTAAGGACATCGGCGCGGCCGAGAGTCCTTGGCACCGGTCGACCGGTCGGCGACCCGGGAGGCTCTGTGCTCGGTTGGCAGCTTCCTGGTGCCAATTGCCGACTAGGTAACCGGAGTGTCAACCTCTGGCACAAACGGCCCGAGCATTATTATTATTGTCCGTGCGCTCGCGCGCAATTCTTATGGCGTGCCACTGACTACAACAATATACTTCCGCAGTGGGCGCTATATGTCTAGCTATGGGCATAACGGTGCGTACGGCACATCACGCACGTGCGTGTGTGATGTCACTGAACTTGCAACCAGGGAGGAGAAACACGACGAACGTGCTTGAGAAGTCTCTTGTGTCTTACACCGAAACCGCGAAATCGTTTTCCTCCGTAAAAAAAAAAAAGATCGATATCCTCTGGTATCGTTGAAACGCATTTTTTTTTCTTTCCCCGTGCACACACGAGACACGAGGAGACCCAGCCCGGAGTTTAACCAGACTTGTAATCGTTAAGGGGCTCGCGGAGGTCATAACGAAATCGTGCGAATTGGACGGACAAACTTAACTGTAAGAGACTGAATTAGGCGCGTTAATTGGCAGAGGTTCTATTCAATCTTCATACGGCAGATCCGCTGTTTCCGCTCTATGAGATATATCGGAAAATTTTTATAAACATACGTAATACGTATATTCGATAGATTTTTTGAAAAAAATTTTTCATTTCCATTTACGAAACTCGACGACTCGACCGATGCCAAGCTGACACAGATTCGCCTTATGCTTATTGATGCAACCGAACGCAACGAGATATGATCGAGGACACGAGCCGCATAGAAGAATGACAAAGCACAGTGCAGCGGACACCCAGTGCTGCATGCCTGATGCAACCAAACGTTACAGGATGCACCCGGCTGCAGGGTGCTACAGTCAAGTCCGAATCCCGGAT